ATTATAGTTAAATTATTAATAGTTAAATATTATAAGGTTAGGGTAGGTGTGTGACTTACTTATCTACGTGACTTACTTATTAACTATATTACCTTATATTATTATAGATGATAAAAGTTATATATAGACTAGAAGAAGGTTATATTATATATATATATATTAAAGAAATCTTATTTTTATTATAAATTTAGAGAAATTAAGTTAATTAGGCTATTTAATACTTAAAATAAGCTAAGAAGTTAAAATATTATTTTTATCCTAAGATATTTAGGTTAAATCCTAATATAAAATTAATACTACTACTAACTAGATAGTAGTAGAGAAATTATAAGCTAGAAAAGCTAGAATTAATAATAATATATATATTTTAAAGTATTTTTATTATTTTAATACTTTTAATAATATTAGGCTTTTAAAAAGAGAAAGACTACTAGTATTATAGTTACTAGTTACCTTAATAAATATAGCCCTCTTATTAGCCTAAATTACTATTTAACCTACTTTTATACCTAGATTAATAGCTATAGGCTAAGGCCTGCCTAATAATAATAACTATAACTAAGAATATTAACTAACCTATAACGTGATATGTACGTACGTTCCCTGACGGAACCAACAACTTGATAAACTCAGCATTACTGACAGGGTTCAGCTTGGAAAGACGATGGCAATAACGCGTATGGATGTGTCAAACAGCTATTTCTGCTCAAGAAACAGCACCGCCACTTGAAAGTGATGTTGTCGATTGGTGGTTGGACCTGGTCGAAAAATTTCCCCGCTACTGCTAGCTCTGCTTCTACCCGAAAGACGTTTGCTCAGTCTGCTGTCGGTTTAATGAAAGATTGGGGATTCGACGGTATCGACATCGACTGGGAGTATCCTGAAGATGCCACACAGGCTCAAGACATGATTTTCTTACTCCAGGCGGTCCGCGATGAGCTCGACTCTTACGCTTCGCAACATGCGAAAAACCACCACTTCTTGCTTTCTATTGCGGCACCAACTGGAGCTAAGGAATACAAGAAGCTGAAGCTCGCTGAACTTGGCCAGGTTCTCGATTATATTAACCTGATGGCGTACGATTTTGCCGGAGCCTGGAGCAATGCCACTGGTCATGGCGCCAACTTGTACAACAACACCGAGAACCCCGCTGCGACACCGTTCAACACGAAGGACGCTGTTGATGCGTATATCAATGGAGGTGTTCCTGCCAATAAGCTCGTGCTCGGCATGCCCCTTTACGGCCGATCTTTTCAGCAGACTGAAGGCATCGGAAAGCCGTACACAGGTGTGGGATCTGGTACTTGGGAATATGGCACCTGGGACTATAGGGTTCTTCCCGAGCCTGGCGCTGAGATCATGTGCGACAATACTGCTCAGGGCTGCTATAGCTATGATGCACAAACCAAGGAGCTCATCTCTTTTGACACTCCAGATATCGTCGCGGCCAAGGTTGAGTGGCTTAAAGAGAAAGGACTCGGCGGCAGCATGTTTTGGGAGGCTTCCGGTGACAAGAACGGATCTGATTCCCTCATCAACAAGAGCTTTGTAGGTCTCGGAAGCTTGGAAAGTACGCATAACTTCCTCGAATATCCTAACTCTACGTACGCAAATATTATGAAAGGCATGGCATAAGCCTCTTTTCCGTGTGGTTCTTTCAGTCTTAACCTTGGATTTGCCATTCCCTGTATTTCTCTTGCGAGGCTGCCTGCATTCGAAGCTGAGCGGGGCATTCAACCTATGGCATTGTGTACATTCCGAGACGTTGACAAATTCGCTTGATTCGTGTCTTACTATTGATTTATGAAGATGGAACATAATTGAAGCGTCTCATTGTCACATGATTTTTTTGCATTTTGAAAGATGGTACGATGGACAGCCAGCTGCCAAGTTAGCACTCACACTGCGCTTTCCCGTTCATTGGGCCACCATTCACATGTTGTTTCTCGCCTCGGTATATTTTTTCTTCTTCGCTCACATTCTTCTCTACTCCCTTCTCCTACGATTCCTTTACTGTACATGTATTTCTACCCGGTAGATATCAGCCTCGGTCTGCGAAACGCCCGCTTTTAGTTATCGCCGCAGGTGTCTCTTCACCCGTCTTTACTACCCTCCATGTTATCCATGATCTGTCTCTGACTGAGTTTTGCTACCAAAAGAGTGGCTCGATGGCCTCTGCCTCCAAAGATAGTTGGGTGTAGAACACACCACCTCACAGCCGCCCAGTATGCCGCAGTGTTACCAGTCCAGCCCCGTCCAGCCACGAGTCTCCAGACTCAGGATACGGATCTTTTGACGAATGTAACTCTTCCAAAACTCCATTCTTGAAGGCTCGCTTCGCAGCAGAATTTGGCCTAGATAGTCAACAGGTCTCACTAGTGCCTGGCAATAACAGAAGTCGGCTCTCGAACGACCAACGACGGTACTCTTCACCCTCCACTTCAAAAACCAACGAAGATTCAGCGATAAACCAACTCAGCAATAGCGACAACGTACCGACCGACCAAATTCCCACAAAATATGCCAGGGCTATTTCATCACTCACACCCGACAGGTTTGTTCCATTCCGGACGGTTCAATCTACTCACGAACGTTACCGAACCACCAAGCCGCTGGCATTACTTTCAGATACCGAAAGGATTTCCAGGCAGGACTTCGGCAGTCATGATCCTTTCTCGCCTCAGCCAAGACAATCGTCTTCACTGATAGCACGATTCTGCCCACTTGAAGAGCCTCAGTGTATGTTCTGCTCACTTGGCTCTACGCGACTAATGCACTAACCTTCCTTATTTATCTCAGACCAATCTCGTTCAAGTCATCATGACTTCCGGCATACTCAGCAAAGGCAAAACAGTACAGAAGCCGTGTGGAGCATTCGAGATCCCTCCTCTCACATCATGATTTCCACAGCAAACGAGCAGCAGCGCTCTGCAAATTTAGACACATCCAATGGTAACCAACAGCTCTCCAAGGAATCTAGCTCCAAAGAGGACTTGTTCAATTACCAAGATCGCGTTGCGTTCGCTTTAAACATTAACCAAGTCGGCAAAATACTGGAGTTTTCCCCCCCGACATCTCTTCGCTCTCCGCCAATTGCGATCAAAGTTATGGAACCATGCGATCTTAGCAGAACGTATTGGACAGGATGCGAATGGACGAATAATACACGGAGTTGCGTCACTTCAGATTCAGGACTTTGGATTTCCACTAACTGACTGATAGGACTACTACCAGCACCGAAGTCAAGGGCCCTGCCCTCTGCCCCATTCAAGCAAGTATTGCCTAATGTTCACACATACACGTCTAATTTATATCCATAGAGTTCTCGATGCTCCTTATTTAAGGGACGACTTCTATTGTTCTACGCTGGCTTACTCCCCAGTTTGCCAAACGCTCGCCGTGGGCCTGGGAAATACTCTGTATGCCTGGTCCGAGGATGCTGGCGTTCATATGATGCACGATCGCCCGTCACAAGGTGTCTACCTTTCCTCTGTTGCTTTCTCTTCCGTGTACGGGAGAAAATGTATCCTAGCGGGGGGGAGAACTGATGGGTCACTGGTGCTACAGTCGACCTCCGATGCACTGCCACGCTTCGAAGTAAGACAACCTTTTAGAGTGAGCTGCCTGAGCTGGAGACCAGTGTGCACACTGAGGCCATCAAAGAACCCTTTCAATCCTGAAGTCCCCATTCAGACGGAAGATCTGCTAGTCGGAGACGATACAGGAACAGTCTACTACTACATCGTGGAATGGCCAATGAACTGGGAGGTCTCTCGAGATAACTGGCCAGGCTCAATGTACTTGGTCGCAAAGATTGTCATCCACAATCAACAGGTGTGCGGCCTTTCCTGGTCTCCAACTGGTCGACTATTTGCCTCTGGGGGCAACGACAATATTTGTTGCTTATTTGACGTCGACGATGTCTTGGGTGAAAACCAGGTCAGCAGAGTTTCTCAGGATACATCGCGGACCCCTTTGGTTCGCCACGGTCTACCTTTCCGCCTTCAACCAACGCAGACTCTACGTCGCAGTGCTTCTCCGAGTTTTATTAGAACCATTGTCGAGGAAGACGTCGATATCAGAAGAGTGCAGACTTCTGGGGACAGCCTGCGAACCCTTACCAACGGTTGCGAAAGACATCGGTAGGTCCATGGGGCAGCTGTAAAGGCCATAGCATTTTGCCCTTGGCGTGACGGCTTAGTTGCAACTGGAGGTGGATCAAACGATAAATGCATACACTTTTTCCACACGACTTCGGGGTCCTCGTTGGCGACTATCGCCGTGGCTGCCCAAGTCACTTCTCTAATTTGGTCTACCACACGGCGAGAGATTGCCGCAACATTTGGGTATGCCCCTGACCATCCATACAGAATTGCAGTTTTCAGCTGGCCCGACTGTAAACAAGTCGCGGCAATACCATGGGCTTTGGAGCTTCGAGCTTTATATGCAATTCCCTATCCATGGCAGCATGATGGGTTGGGACAGTCCCGATCTCCTCGGCCTTCTGGAGACGGTTGCATTGTCATTGCAGCAAGCGACCAAACACTGAAGTTTCATGAAGTGTGGGAGGCAGGAAGCAAGAAAGCACTCGGCTTGCCAGGATACTTCGGAAGCAGTGATATCCTAGAGAGTCTTGAGGGCATCAACAAGGAAGGTGAAGTGATTCGCTAATCCCTACTTGAGCGATTGCAAACAGAACCTATTGGCACAGCAAACGAAAAGTGCCGAATCAGTGCAGATACTCTAATAGAACAAATTGGCGTAGTGCTATACATTGACATAATTCGGCTCCTTTTTATTCTCGCAGCAAGATAGCCCATAAACTTCGAATTGTAATACTAACTAGACAACATGAACAGCAAAATGACAAAACGCAAAACGCCTGAAGGAGCTAATTAAGACCGTCAACAACATGCTTGTGTAGCATTAATATTAACTTCCCGCACTATTTCAGTATTGCAATTAAGAGAGCAAGAATTATGATAAGAACGATGATAGTGGTCATTTGCTTATTTTCGCTCGCTCCTCTTGCAATCTTCCCCAGCATTCTCTGACCCCTGTCGAGGCGGCTCTGGTGGCGGTCGACAACTCCATCTATCTCATCCAGCATTTCAACGTGGCTGTCGAGTTCGTCTCCGATTTGCATACTCAACTCTCTTTGGCGGCTTATAGACACACCAAGGCGATCGAGTTGCTCGTCTTGTTCTTCCATGATCTGGGAATGGTATTCGTGTATTTGCTGATTCGACATGTCGCCGGCCTGATGGCGATAACCAGCCGAGTCGTTCGGCGGATCGTCCCGATAGCGGCCGAACAGATCATTTGACGGCGATGCAGGTGTGTCACTGAATCTCACAGATTTTGATTTGCGGTAGGCGGATGGGGTGGATGTCGCATGTTGGAAGTCGTCCGCCAGCGTTTGCGAGTTGGGGTGTGTGACCGTTTCGATGGTTGCAGGCGATGCAAAGCCGTGAAATTGCGAAGTGAGGTTTCCAAATTGCTCCCGAAGAGATGAAATTGAGTCGCTCAAGGCTGATGCCGCGCTGCCAGACAAGATGGTGGTTAATATAACTGACTGGTTGCCTGTCGGAATTTGTCATCACGATACCTATCATCCCCGCTGCTCTGCCGCTTTTCCTCCTCTGTCTCTAGCAAACCCAGCCCTACTCTGAACTGCTCAAACGATCGTGACAGGTGTCCGTCTTGACTATCATTGTCCAGACCAAGGCTTTGGGCTCTCTTTCGTTCCAGTAAAGACAGCTTAATGTGGTCGGCGAGAAGGAAAAGCTGTTCGGCACTGCTCATCTTGCGAGCTGTTTTGTGTGGAGAAGCGGCGGTTCTCAAGCGGCAGCTTATCTCGCTTGGAATTTGCTGTGTGATATATCTGGTTTTGCGAAGGAGCAGCGAGAAAACGCGCTGAAGAAAATCATGTGTATAGTTGGTTGTGGCACTGGTCGTGGTAGCGTCTACGTGTGTCGCACATTGATGAGCGACACCCCACTTGCTTGCGACTTAGTACTTACCTACCAAAGCACAGGGCGTAGGTACTTGCGGATGTACCTACGTGGCTTGCCAAATCTACCATGCCTACCTAGGCACGCTATTTGGGCATTTGTTTATCAAATGAGATATATACGCAAACATGATTTGCTGACGGGGTAACTTGTGATAAGCATGTATCCTTGTTTCGGACTCCATCCTTCATTGTATGCAGTCGCAACTCAATGTGTCTAGTCTAGAAGGCTCTTGCTTTTGCCTGTGGATTGGTGAAAGAGGACTTCACTATTTGTTAGCTGCAGTTTACTGGACTTTGAAAGAAGTAAAAGGAGATGCCTGTTGTGCCTCGAGTGTAGCAAGCGTCCGACATAAACAGTTACGAAGTGGCTATTTATGATCTTTAGTCTTATATTCAATGATATATATCAGATCTGTCGCGATATATTTGAAGTGAATGAATTGCATCTTGCGCCTGACTGATATCGTATCCCAGATGCCGGCTCTACCTCCGTCCTGTTAATGCGCCGTGAAGTTCAAATCGAGAAGAAACACTAGACTGAGCATTGTTGACTTGGTAAATCTTGAGCGGCGTGCCGTGGCCGTCTGCAGTTTCGTTTGCGTTAACTCATGTGCATGTGCATGTCGTTGCCATTCGGGGTAAGAGCGGAAAAAATGTCCGCGCTTGAGATAGTTTCGGCGCCTTCAAATACTGGTGGAGATTGTTGCAAATTGCGGAGAGCGGATTCGGCACCACGGCTGACTAGTCGTGCTTGTCGAAGATTCTCTGAACAGAGAAAGAAGCCCTCGGTAGCTTTCACGAGGTATGACTGGAGCCCTTTGCTTTCCAGGCAGATTTGTACGTTGCTGAGGGGGTAGTGGTTCTCGATAAATTTAGCCCAGCCTCGGGCCGCCGCTTGAATGTGCTCATCTTCACTGATCTTGCGCCAACCGATACCGAGGTGGAGAGTAAAGTTATCAATGACTGGGCCATTAGATTCCGGAGCAGGCACCGCGGGTAATACGTTTCCAGGACTAGTCGCGGTCGATACTTCGTCGCTTCCGATGCGCTGCAATTTGTGATTTCGAATGTCAACTTGGGTAGCTTCGAGCTGGCGCTTAGCACCTGCTTCTGCCGCGGCGTTTCTTTCTTCCATCCAGGTGCCTGATTGGGTGCTGGCATCGGCGACATAGCCAGAGTTGGGCTTGATCAGTGTCATTCCTTCGCCATAAACCCAATCGTCTTGCGGCTCAACTATAAGCTGGGGGGGCACATCAGGCTCGAGATTGCCGCCAGCCTCGTCACGGGATCGTTTTCTGCCTTTCGAGCCGGTGAATCGATTGAAAGGCTGCGATTGAATCTGCGTCTGAATATGAGGCGGCGCGAAAATCGATCCGGTAATTTGGTTCGAGAGCGATGGCTGGGCGAGGGCCAGCACGGGAGACGCGGAAGTGAATTGGCGCTGCAAAGAGGCCATCTTCTACGTGGGTGGCGCTTTGGGCTATGGCTGTTGTGTTAGTGATCAAAGTATCATCAAACCAATGTATGCGTCCCGTATCTGTCTGGTGGGAGGCGATGTTGACAATCGTAGTCCTTCTGGGCGGACACGTGCTATGGAACGTCGGGGGTAGGCCTGCGTGCAGACTGGCGATGTGAGGAAGATCAAGTACGTGGTACGATAAGGATGTACAGCAGAGACTGGAAAGCCGGAGTCGAGTTATCCGTCACAATTATGGCGGGCAGTGGGCGGCGGATGGATGGGCTGGTGCGACGGTGCCTGGATATTGCTGAAGCAAGAGTTTCGGTCGCGGTGCGAAGCGGTGCGATGAAGGATGAAATGCTGTTTGCAGATTGGTGGCCGGGTGAAGGCTTGCAGCTGAAGTACAACACCCCACAAAAGGTTAGTTGTTTTTTAAACGAAGCCTACCATCAGGCTGACAAAACAGACCGCCGGTAGCCTACTACGCACGGCAAAGTATGAAGCGAAATTTTAAGGTTTGAACACGTAGTAAAAATATATATAATAAATCTAGTAAATTTATTTACACTAACTTCTACATTGAGTCAATCTTTTAAGTACTAATAACTAGTTGTGGTGGAATTTTATCGTTTAGAAAGGTGAGTATTCTTAGGTATACCGGCGATCTGTTTTATCACCCAGTTGCCTACTTTACGTTAAGTAACAGGGCAAATTTAAAGCCTTCTAACGCACGCAATTTTATAAGAAAAGAGTAGATTTTGAATTTTCTAGTAGATAATTAATCTCGCTTTAATACTATATATAATCTTAATATATTTATAACTAGGAAATAAAGTATAACTATATTATACCTAAACTAGTAATAAAATTAAAAAAAAGCTATACTATATAAAATAATACCTAATATTATCTTTATATAATATATCTTTATTATAAAAGTCTGATATATATTTATATTATACCTAATTATAGAATAAAATAATAATTAATTTATTCTCTAGATAAATAGATTATAATCTAATAATAATATAAAACTAAATTAGTTCTAATAAATTAATATAATAAAAAAACTATTAAATACTAAAGCTATAACTAGAAGAATTTATTAAACTATATAATTACTTTAAGAAGATAATATAATATAGTTAATAAGTAAGTAAGTTAGATAAGTAAATAAGCTACTTTATCTAACCTTTTATCTTTTAATTATTAATAATTCAATTATAATATAAAGAATATTTAAAACTAATTAAAATCCTTTTTTATTAGTTTTAATATTTATAATATAAATATATATATTATATTTAATTTAACTATATATATTATATTATTAACTATATATTTTAATTTTTACTTTTTAATTATTATAAGTTAATATTTTATTTATTATTTAATTATTTATATTTATTTACTTTTTTAAACTTTTTATATAAAAGATAAAAAGTAATCTTTTAATTTATAATTAAGTTTTTTTAATTTATTAATATTTATTAATAAGTTTATTTATAACTTTAGAAATATATATTTATATATAAATAAAATAACTTTATATATAATAATTATTATATTTTTTAAAAAAAGAATTAAATATATTAAAACTTTTAATAAAAAAGTTATTTAAATAATTAATAATTTATTTTTTAAAATTAAAAACTATAAAATTTTTTAATTATAATATTTAATATTCAAAAAATTTAAAAATTAGATAAACTTAAATATAAGTTTAAAAGACTTAATATTATAAATTTAAGTTTTAAAGAAAAAATAACTTTTTTAAAATTAAATAAAATAATTTTAATATTTTAAAAATTATTTTAAATATTTTTTTACTAATAAACTTATAAGAAATATAAAAGAATATAAAAAGGGGTTTTAAAGTTAATATATATAATATTAA